GATCGATGCAATCGTTTATAAACAGGCCCCACGTATAAATCCGAGCGAAGCGATGTCTGCGAGCCGGTGCTTTCGATCGCGACGAATTTTTGCGCGACCCGCAACATTTTCGCAGATCTCAAGTTCCATTCGCGAGGAAAACTCGCGCGCTATTTTTTTTTTCATTGAATAATCAAGATTCGATTTGAATAATTTAATAATTTCTCGCAAACAATATGTATAAAAAAATATATCGAAACTCTTTGTGCGTCGCAAATATCAATTTTCGAACTCTTTGCAGATGTTGCGCGCGCGCGCGCGCAGTATCCGAATATGTATTTATTTTTCAGAACAGAGCCGAACTCACGTCGCGAAACGACACTGTGCCAAAGAGAATGGACCGAGGCGCTTTGCAAAAAGATCGATCCATTCTTGGCGCGTCCAGTCTCTCGGAGGCATTCAGGCTCTTTGCGGACCAGCGACTTGATTTACTCGTCCGAGGGAACGAACTCTCGCCCGCGCCTCGTGTCTGTGCTCTCTCGCCAAGATAGGTAGTTAGATACAACAGAGCAACCATCGAGAGAGCTCTATGTATAAACCGTGCTATTATCCGCTCTCGCGCAGGTTACACACACCGGGGCGGCTCTACTCTCTCGCGCGACGCGTCCTAAGGTAGGAAAAGTCTTCTCCGTGAACCAAGTCTCCCTCCTACGCGCATCTTCGTTAACTATTCATACTTCGCGCATTGCCCACAGTGCCGACCGTGATGAATCGGAGTTGTTAAACGCGAAAACAAAAAAAAAAAAAAAAAAGGAAGAGATTTTAACGCGCGCGTCGCGTTCTCCTCCAATTCCCGCCATTTTTGCCAAAAGTGCGATGTTCAAAGGAATATGTCGAACACGCGTGTATGCGCGCACAAAAAAAAGTTGTTACAACGCAAATCTAATTGAAACACTTATTTGTCGTTAATCTATACGAGACTCGGAAGTATTCGGTGATGATTACGTGCTCCGCGGGAAAATAAAACGCCGTGGGAATAAAACGCGGAGTCGCGGGACGGGCGGTAGAAAAAAAAAAAAAAAAAAAAAAGATTCCGATTTTGCGAATCGAGATTTTCCAGGATGCATCTTCGCGACGCAGCCGAGCGTGACGTAGCGCGGTAGAACTCGCGTGACGTCATTCATTCGATGACGTGTGGTCAACCGCGGTCAATGCACCAGAGCCGGCGTTTCTTGCAGGGCACTATAATGCTCGGTTCACTGGCTTCAACGTCGTGTGCGTTTGTTCACGTACACGGGCCGCGATGCACGTGCGCGCGTTACACCGCAAAATACCGGGTGTCCGTAAAGATTTTGCTTTTTGCGCGCGACGAGAAATCTTGGGCGAGAGATTCACAGATTTTTGCGCGAGCGACACATATATAAGAGACATCGATGTCAAATATCTTTAAGAAACGTGTCGTTCGTGCGGAAAAAAATTCCAAAATGCACACGCAAAATATTTGTGAAATATATTTGAAACATCACAAAATGTTGCATAAATTTCAAATTTGTACTAACAATTTTTTTCACCTCTGTGTGTGCGCGTGAACATTTATAGTAGTGCCGAAACATCCGCTACACATGTTTACAAAATCTCAAACGCTTTTGCGTAGACTTCGTACATTAATCAGAGAATTAAAATCAAAACAAAAATTAATTAAAGTTTCGCGAGTTTTCCCGTTTTCGGAAGATTTGTATAAAAAAAGAAAAAAAAACTCACTCTCGTCTACTTTTTCCTCTTGTTCTACCACACCCCTCGTATCGTTCGCACCTAGCCAGGAAGATACAGATCGGCTAGTAATAAGTAGATAGGTAATGCGAATTGTTGTTCGACCACAAGAAGCGGAGGAGCTCGCTACGTAGTAGCGGTCGTGTCCGGTAATTAAGGTCGGCTAATTGTTTATGCAAAAAAACTGTCTAGTCGGATTACATGTACACCGTGGAACACAACACTTTTCGCAATAATTAGCGGTTCTATAAAATAGCGCGTTGTGCGAGGCGCGTCTTAAAACAGAAATTACAGTGAAGTAAATAAATAAATCCGACCGGTGTTGTTATTTAGCTTAAACAATTTTGCGTTGCGGAGATTAACAAGTAACGGTAGATCACGATAATAGAGTCAATATTTCCTCGCAACTCTTTCGGGACGAGAGAACAAGATACTTTAGATGTTTTCCTATTTTTCGAGTTTGAAATCTGGACGCAATGTATCTAGAAAGCATGTGTAATAACTCATGTCGTTTATCAAAGCAGATGCAACTTGCGTTGCGTAAGAAACTCGTTGCAAAAAGAAAATATTACGGAGCATTAATTCGCAAGAATTCCTTCTCAGAGAAAGAGAGAGAGAGAGAGAGAGAGACTCGGAATTTTAAGAGTAAATTAGACGCGCGGTAGCTATAAATACATTTGCTTCCGCGACGATACGGTAAACAAACGTATTTACATTTCTTTAAATCTCTGCATATTTTTTCTCAGCTCGGTCAAAACGTAAATAGTCTTAAGTGTGACTAAAATTCAAGTGTCGGATGAACAAAGTCGAATTTAAAATACACAGATTGCGTATCGCGGCAAAAAGCGATGAATTTCGAGTTCGGAACACGTGTGAGACGAGACGGCAATAACCTTCGCGGCAAGTTCGACAGTAACGAAATCAAATCTCGCACTTACGCGCGCGCGCGCGCGCGCATCAGCGGAAAATATAAATATTACTCATCTCGACCGGGGTCAATTTTATTTGAGCCAAACGACTCTCGCGTGCGATTTCTATGGCAAATTGCACATCACTCGCGCGGGTCGATGAGGCATCGATTGCGCTCAAACGAGCGCGGATGCGTATGTGGAAAGTCAAAAAAGTGGAGAGAAAGAGAGAGAGAGAGAAAAGAAGAGAGAGAGAAAGGCGGAGAGAGAGAGAGAGAGAAAGAGCCTGTGTGTGCCATAGGTAGGCCGCGGACAACAAGCTCGAGTTGAGAGGCGCGGACGGGCGGTCAGAGACCCCGCAGGGCCGGCGCAAACAGCGAGTACAGCATTACCCACTCGCTTGCTCTCTGTGCTCTCTCGCCAACCTGGACCCGACAATGCCGCGATAATCCAATCGCGGTGCCTTTTATCCGCCACAATGTGGAAAAAAAATCTCACGACTCTTTCTTTTTTTTTTTTTTTTCCGCGACTCCCTCTTCCTTCATCTCGTCTCTTTCTCTTTTAATTTTTTCCTATCGCTTTTTCTCTTTTTAATACATATTACGCGTCCCGTCATTTTTTTTCCAAGATGGAGACGAAGAGCAAAGAAAGCAAACACAGAAGACACGGTCGGAAGTTAAGTCGAGCTAAGGTTTTGCTCTCATCTTGCCAAATATTTTTACGATGTGACTTCGATCGCGTATAAAATGTGAAGTTTGTATATATATGTATGTATGTGTGTTATATACGCACGTAGAAAGTGAGATTGTATATCGACTTCGATAAATGCTGGCGTGTAAAAATTTTTTGGGCGTGTGTGTGGACGCGAGCGCGAGAAACCGCGTGCGCGCGAAAAAAGTGCGAGACATTTTGCGAAATATTTCTACGAAGCATCAAGGACACGTTCCGCAATATTGTCACATTTTTTTTTTGTGCAAGCGGTGCAAGTAATTAGTTACATGAGCAATAGCGAGAGAGACTTTCTCCCGTGTGATCCGCTTTGCGGAGCACGCGTGTGTGTGTGTGTGTGTGTGTCTCAGGTTGATTTCCGCGATGTGTTCCGTAAATAAGTCGCGCGACTTTTGCGATGTGCACTCGGAGAGCCCCGGCCGAGAGTTTGCGGCGTCGATTGAGAGAGTCGACGGAATCGACGCCGGGACATCACAACTTTCGACAGGACATGGACATCTCCTTCTCGATTCCTTCCTTCCGCGTCGCGGTATCAAAATAAAACAAAATGTTGCCTCCTCCAAAAAATGAACCTTCAGTAATAACGACAAATAAAATAAATAAATAAATAAATTTCCCGATCGGCGTATAAAAAAAAAAAAACTATTGTGGTATACAAGTGCACAAAAATGTGAAATCAGTTTGGCCTCAAAAAGCGTGACGAAACGAAAACAACTGCTGCTATGAGGTCTAATTTACATAATAAAAAAAAAAATAAAATAAACTAAAAAAAAAAATAATACAATTGAACTCCGAGTTGTGCAAGTTGCACACGCGCAATGCAACAACACACGAAAAATATCATCGGGCGTGCTTGATTATCCGAACAGATAAAATATTCCATTTATCTATTTGGAACTTTTTTGTGTTACATATGTCGATGTAGATATTCAAACATGTGTGGGTAACAAGAATATTCACGTTGAATCGGTAAAAAATCTCCGGCAATAAAGACCGGCTGCTTTACGTAATTGTGTCAAAATTAAATGCACGATAGTTTCAGGGTGCAAAACAACATCAGGTTGAACAACTCGCGAGCAAACAAATCGCGAGATTGCATATGAAAAATGTAAATAAATCACATAAAAGATGTGTTTTGTGTTCGCGCGCTGAAACTTGCCGCCGAAAAATCGGGTCGACTCCTCGCTTTTTCGCAACTTTCGACCAAAACTTTCGACTAATCACTCCGAATTCACGCGGAGGGGGTCAACGATCTCCCTCCCCGATTTCACCCGGTTTCGTTTGAGAAGACGACGCGCGTGATTTTTTCGTTCGTCTTTGAGCGAGAAAAAAACAAATACTTTATCGCGCAAAAAAATCGCAAAGTAAAAAAAAAAAAAAAAAAATTGAAATCCAACCGCGTCCTTTTTCTTTTCTCTTCTCTCTCTCTCTCTCTCTTCCGTAAGAGACACGCGCGATTTGTCTCTCGATAAATACTATCACTGTTCTTCGCCGAGTCGCTACCGACGTACTCTTTTTTTTTTCAGCGGTAAGTTTCATTCGAATTCTCTTGTCGCATATATATATATATATGTCAAAAAAAAGAACATTCGAAAAGAAAATTCACTCACTCACCGTTCGTTGACACACCCGGTGACATGTGCGCGACGTTCCGCTGCAGATACGGTCCGTTTCCACATGGGATCTGGATTATCACTGCCGCGCACACGCGCGCGCGATCCGATTTCCGTAACTCACTTCAAGTCACACCTGACATTCGCGCACTTTATCACGTTTTGTATGCTTCGTTGCGAAAGAAGAAAGCGTCGGGGGATGAAACCGCGTTGCGAACAGAGTTTAGTCTTTATCGGATTGTTATCCCCGCGTTAGGGGATTCGCGAGAAGCGCGGAAGGTTCGATCTCACGACGCGGATCTCAAAAACGCGGAAGACGATATGGCCGCACTTTTGGAAGAAAACGATCTTCACGCCGATGTGTGTGTGCGTGCGCGCGCGCGTAACGTGCGTCTTCGCACAATTCTCTCCGCGCGACACCCTCGGAAGTGGGCACGTGGTCGCACCACCGTGTGTGTGTACAATACGCACTTACCCTGATAAGAAGAGACAGAGTTTGATGCACACGTCTCACGTGTCTGTAATCACGCGTCCGACTGAACGCGCCGTTCGAATCGCCGGCTTCTCTCTGTCTCTCTCTCTTACCCGATCTTCCAGGCTTGTTGGTTGGTGGCGGTGCCCTCGGTCGCGTCAGCCAATCGCCGCTCTCCGTCGCCCGCGCGCCAGCGACCCAAGCACGCCGCTCTCGTTTCTCGCGCGCCATCGCGCGCCTGTCAGTCATCGTCCCACCGTTCACAACATTCGTTCTGCTCGCAACTTCACGCCGTTTCTCTTCTTCTGTCTTCTTCCTCTTCTGTGCTTCTATATCTCGTGTGCTCTTCCTTCATTTTTGTATCTTTCCATGAAACGCGCAGCGAGCGAGACGCGCCAATTCGAGAGAAATTAATTTTTTTTGTCTTTTTTACTTTTCACTCCGTGTGACAATTTGTCTTCTCGTTGATATATCGATACGGCGGCGCGTCGCGAGATATCGATCCTATCGCGATGCTGACGGTAACGAGGGAATAGAACAGTTGTTTTTTTCTGCAACAACACGAATCAGAAGAGAAACGTGAAAACACATGTACGGGGGAAATATTTTAGAGAATTATTTTGCTTTTGCACATAAAAATCTGATGTATGTTAATAAATGTTCTTGTATCAGTTAAAATATTATTTACGGTTTTATCCCTCCCCATTTTTATCTCATTTCCTTTGTATCGTATTTCTGATTATTTCAAGATATTTTTGTTGAAAAAATATTTGTTACGCAAAACGAAATAAGTAATTATTTTTTTTTTTTATCAATACTCGCATTAATTAAATCAAATACAGTCAAACCTCAATAACTCGAAAACTTCTATAAGATGAAAAGTTTGTTCGTTCTCTTCCGCTCCGCGAAAAGAAAAAAAGAACTTGGATAAGTCGAAACCTCTCGAAGATCTTAACTCTTCTCTTGAGATTCGAATTATCGAGGTTCGACTGTAATACGGTTTTAATTGACGCATGCGCACACGTATATTTGCAAGACGCGACGATAGACGAGATACGGATATTGATACGTTCGATTTTATTTCTTTCGATTCAACTTCGATTCGCATTATCGCTCGCAACTCGCTCTCATCTATATGTTATGTGCCTTTTTGATTCCGATCAAAAGTTTCGCTTTTTTTTCGTTTTGTAATGATAGATCAATCGAAGTTACTTCTATCGAAATCGAGCCCGAAAAATGACGCCCGATCTCTTGTTAGTTTATTTACCTGTTTGGCAAAATTACTCTTTTACATTAAAAAGTTTCTCATTCCGTATTTAAAAAATGTTGCATTTATATAATTTACGTATAATTTTAGTAACGTGAAATGAGATAAAAATAATCACAAAAAAAAAAAAAACGTCTCTCGGGATATACTCGTAAACCTACTTCAATTCGTTGTTGATGTTTTCGTTCTCGCGCTTCGTCTCGCTCTCTCCCCGTTTCTATCATCACGCTCATTCCTTTCTCTCGCTGTCTATTCGCTCGCGTTTTTCCCTTTTCACTCACGTGGGTTAATTTGTAACTTTTTCCTACTTTCTTCGCCGCGTAGCTTACGTAACCGTCGGTCACCTCGACCGACGAAAATCGGTAACATTGCGAAGATAGCCTCACATTGACGCACATTGATTCATCGATGTATCGAAAACTAAATTATGAGCAATTCTTTCGAACGACGACGACGACGACGACAAACGTCTGAAACGAAATAGATAACAAAAGATAAATAAACGCAGATGCTACTATTATTATTGTTTTTTATATGTTGTTATTTTTATATATTTTGTTTACACTGTGTTTATTGTCAAAACGTGACAAAAAATAAATGTAACAGATAAACACCTCTCTTTCTCGGTGTGTATTTAAACGATATCGAGAGAGAAATTTTATTATATCAGTTTTCTAACTAAATCAAGTCAACATACATAAATCGCGTATAAAACTGACTAAAAAAAGTTATCGATAAAAATTATACATTCGACGACGATTTAAAATGTGCATTGATTGCGTAAAAACGTTGGCCAAATGCGAGACTGAACGACTCGTCTTATCCCGTTCGAGTATCTGAATTGCCGGCACTAGACGTTTATCGCGTGTAGACACCCCATAGACATGCACATGTATTCACACACACATTGTGGTAATATCGCTTCAATTTGATACCTACCGAACGAATGACGCGCAGTCGAATGATGCGTCGCAAAATTGTTCGAAACTTGACTTTTGAAATTATCGCGCGGGACGATTTTTGCGTTTTTTTTTGTTTTTGTTTTTTTGTTCTTGCGCAGAGAGTCCGCAGTGACGATCTTCGCTCTCGAAGAGAAGGAGGACGGTTGTTGCTAGAAGAGTAGGAGGTGGCGATGTGGTGGTGGTGGTGTGGTGGAGGAAGCATACGGGTTCGCTTTTGCGTACCCGTTCGTTCACCCTAGCGGGGGCACCAACCTGGCTTTACTTCAGTTACACGTCGGGAAAGCCGGCGCGCGCGCTGTACATATCATACACATGTGCATGTATAAAAAGATGCATATACATATGTGTGTGTGTGTGTATGTAACTATTTTGCACATAAAATCTATATAAAAAGATGTGTATACAAGAGATTCAAAATTGTCTCGCCTCAAAAATATCGGAACTGAGAAAAAGATCGCCTAAAACCGGGAAGTAACCAAAGTGACAACTTTTTATATTATTAACGGCGATGTTTCTACGTGTTGTTACTTTGTTTGGTATTAACTTCGCTGAGACCGTTTTGGCGTAATTCACGACTTAACCAAGTTTCAATACATAAAGAGATTTTGCCGCGTTCGCAGATTCACAAATATTTCGTAATATATCCATATATTTTTTCTTGTTAATTAATGCTATTTCTACATTCCAGAGTGTACTCACACCTGATATAGGTGAATACATACAGGGAGTGTACCGAGAATGTCTCGACCGAGTATGACGCGATTCCACGGCCCTTCGGCAGAGGAAGAGGGAGAGGGAAGAAAGGAGAGAGAGAGAGAGAGAGAGAAAAGAGAGAGAAAGAGAATGAGAGAAGAGCGAACCAGGTGAGGTACCGACTTCGCCGGATCGTCCTAAGGAAGGAGAAAGACGAAATCGCGCGAAGAGAAAGGGAAAAGGACGGGCGCTTTTGTCCGACCGCTCCGGACGAAACGTGAGTCCGCTCTTCTCTTCGAGACTTTCGACATGGAAAATAAAGACATTACCGTCCGCGGTAATGCTCCGTTTCTAGTCTGAAAGAGAGGAAGGGTTTCGAAGAGAGGGCACCTTTGCCTGCCTTGCGACGATCAAATAAATCCGCTGCTCGTGCGATTTTCAAAGCGTCAGATGTGGAATTTGCACCGCTATATAAGAATCAACGTCGGCTTACAGAACATCGGGTGCTTGACCTAAGCCTAAACACGAGCTAAGCGAGCAGCAGTTTCGATTTGCGGAATGCTGACTTGACGTCGACTCAAGTCGAGAATCAGCGAGTTTTATTGTGGTAAAAATGAGTTCAGGGAAAAACGACGATTTTTCTGTAATCGTGAAGAAGGAGAAAAGTGTCAGGAATAAAAAATAATTATTTATTCACATCCTAACATATAAACCATATACGTGTCCGAGATCAATACGATCTCTCCTATTAAATCCCTATATATATATCTACTCCAAATAATTTACTTAAATATAATATTAATTACAAAATTTAACTAACAAACAAAGAAAACTCTTTTGTAAAGAACTCTATGCAAAAACGAAAAATGTAAAGAGAATTGAATATGTAATTACGTACAAGTTTTATGTCGAAACATATCCAAGCTGACACGTAGGTAATTAGGAATAACGAGTTAAGTTTGTTGCATTGACCATCCTGATAGACACAGGCGCGGTAACAGTGTCAGTTGGACTCGATCTTTGCGGATGATGAGTGTAACTGACTTCCATATCAATCTCGTCAAGCTCCTCTTCCTCTTCTTCATGAGTGTCCGATTCATCTTCTTCTTCACCCTCACCCTCCTCTTCCTCCTCTTCTTCTTCCTCTCCTTCCGATCCTCGAAACTATTTTCAACCATTTGTTTTTATGCCAAAACCAACTATATATAGCTATGTGTGTGTTTGTGTAGAAACAATGTATACATTTGATTCCAAAAAAAGCTTAAAATAATAATCTATTTATTTTTGTCATATTCATAATTTCGTTATAATTCTTGTAATCTTTTTAATTATTTAATTGTTTTGCGTAATAATACTATATCCGTCTAATATGAATTTAATATGATTTGATTTAAATCAGAACTACAGGTGTGTGGTATCAGATTTTCAACTGCTGGTAACTGAGGAATAAACATATCAACACAGCGCACAATCATTTTGCCCCTAATCTTAGACTGTTATTCTAAAAAAAAAAGTCAATTAAAAAAAAAATGAATAAAAAAATTGATCTTATGTTTCTATCATTTATGTCTCTATTATTGTCTGTACTTTTTGTGCTTTGATTATATCGCAATAAAGTAATAACTATCTGTTCGCGAGCACACATTCGACATAACAACAGTAGATACATTTGTTGGTAAACAAATGAGATGAGAGATAGAGGTTAACTCACATCGCTCATTGTTTTTCCAATCGGGATGTGTTCGAAGCCTTGTACACGAACGTGGTCTCTCTGGAACAAAGAAAAACGAATAATCGCAATCGAATTTTACGAAATTTTGTCGTGTATGAAGCGACTTACCCAAGCTTGGTGTTCCGCTTCGAGGGCGGCGACTTCGCTCTCGTCGTCGCACGGCCGGTCAGCGTTAAACCAAAGCGGATCGGTCGCCCGTGGACGCAGATCCGGCCACAACGGTCTGATCGCCATTATCGCGAACTGAGATAAGAGAAGCCAATCGGTGTTAAATAGATATTGTACACGCACCTGCAATTTTTCCGTCCGCAATCAAGGAAAGTTCAACGACAATTAAGACGCGCGCTCTCGACTTACGGCAACTGATACGACGCCATTTTGAAGCAAAATTGCGACGCGCGCCGTTAGATGACGTATGCTGTCCATCGAGCCGCTGCCTTGCGCCGCTAGATGACGTATGCTGTCCACAAATGCTGCAATAGACTGCGTTCGTCTTGTACACAACGCGTCACTGAGGCCCGAATTCATAGTCGTCTCTCAGATCTCAGATCTCCAATCTCAAGAGAGAGAGAAAGAGAGAGAGAAAAAGAGAGGGAAAGAGATGAGATGAGATCTGAGATCTGAGAGACGACTATGAATTCGGGCCTGAATCGCGGAATTGGCGCGGGGATCGGGGGGCAAGCGGGGCGGTTGCTCGTAGCGTCAACGAGCGCCGTGCGAACTAACTAGTAGCAGTCGGTTGTCCACAACTACGTCGTGTCGATAATGTAACTGCTCTTCCTTCCTATTTTCTTCTCAAAACGTAAAACTATTGGCCAATTACTTAATATTTAACGTTGACAAATAACATGTGTATATATGTGTGTTTGATAGATGGATCTATTACTGCCTCCGGTAATTGGAAGGAACGTATATTGTAAAAGTCTCGTTTAAAAAAATATATGTATATTGAATATTAATATTTATATGTAACCACTAAATAAGTATAATTTTATTATATTATTATTTTAT